AATAGAATCTTCATTAGTAGATTTTGTTAAAAAAATAATTTTAGGATCTAACTTTAAAAGATTTAAAAGTTTAAAGGTTCAAAGATAAAATTTTCTTTATTTCTTGTGATGTGACAGATAACATGCTAACATGGATACTTACTTATAAACAACAAATTAACGGACTAGACTAATATTTTATCGATTTGAAAGATTATAGATTGAAACGGGGAAAAATTAAAGTTACTTAGCCAAAAATTGATAAAAAAATTGAAATTACTAGATGATTCATTAAATTTATCCCTTTAAGAACCATATCTACTCCTTTGATCAAAAAAAAAAAAAAAACACAAATCAACTCCTCCGTTCTCTAAAATTTGGGTAATACCCTGTGAACCAATCGGTACCCAAGTTCATTGGTCCCCATAGTTTTTTATTTTTTATTTTTAAGTGAAATATTTTTAGTTTTAATTTTTGGTCTTTTAATTTTTATTTTTTAAATGATCAAATACCTAAATTTTTAAATATTAAATCTTAAACTTTAAAAAAATCTAAATCCTAACACATTAAGGCTAAATTTGAAAAAAATTCAAACCTTAATATCATGAAATATAGAATCCAAAAATCTAAATTTTAGAATCATAAAATATATAATTCAAACAATTTAAACCCAAATGCCTTAAATACTAAATCTTAGAAAAATTTAAATACTAACCATAACACATTAATCAAAAAACTCTAATTTGTACATCCTAACAAGATTAGTTTAAATTAGTTCAACTAAAAAAAGTAGCGGGACTAAAATGAAGCTAAATTGTTAAAAATAGAGACTAAATATCAAATTTACCCTAAAAAAAGGAAATCTATGGGACGCGGCATGTGCCACATCAACATCGGCCTTTGGTGGGCCTGCCAGCGGTCGGTCCCCTAGCATTTTTCGGAGCTTGAATAGTGTGGGTCAACAATTTTTTTTTTCGATCACATATATAATACACAAAAAATTGTTATAGTTCATATTTTAAAATAAAACTCTCTATATTATATAACCTACATTATATAAATAATTTAT